AAAGAAATATTGTTATAATATTCAAGAATCTGTCGCTTCAACCTATATTAAATATTGCAAAAAAATATTACTGCAATATTTGTGTGCTATCTGGGCATGATCTGATGAAATCCGCGCAGTTTTAAAACTTACTGAAGTTTTGTTAACTGGCCGATGTATCTTTAATACTCTGTAGAAATTGTAAAAAGTTTATAAGCTTTGTGGTTTTTGAGTTAGAAATGTGTTCGTTGTTGCGTAATCTGTAGAGCGATTTTTTCGCGCCGGAATGTTCCAATTCCAGATCAAAAGCATTAATAAATGCACTCATAATCAATTGAAACCCAAAATTCCTCATTGGAAACTTAAGACGTTTGGATAGTTTCATGTGGATTTTAAGGACCTGAAACGCATCAACTTCTCAAGTATGCTCAAGTACATATTTACCACTCTAAATAAGTACTTAATGTTCGCAGATAATTAATGGCACTTGTTGCTTATCGCATTCCGAAAATTTCCATTATTTGTGCAAACATTGGGACCATGCTGACAACCATGAAATCAGCTATTGAGTGATGGATTAGCTTCAGATAATTTCTTGTATTAAGCACGAAGAATTCATTATTTTGAAGCGAAAACTACAAACTGTATTTGCCTATTTAAATGAGAACAGCGTTAAACTCTGAGGAGAAGAGAGTTTGGGTTGTAATTAACATTTGAAGTTAGAAAGGGTCATATCTCCGAAAAGGTTGGGAATATCGGATCAGTCAATATGACCTTTTTAATAGCCCTTCTCGAGAACTATGATTCATCTAGTGGATTTAATCAGGAATTTCTGACCTCCAAAGAGGTAGAAGCAAAAGTGTGAAGTCTGAAGGCTCTTGACGCTTGCAACACCCTATATCTCAGAAACTGTTGACAATATCAGATTAGTCATAAGAACCTTTTCGATAGCTCTTGCGATCATTAGCAATGGCTAACCTACGAGATAAAAGCAAAAACAAGGAAACGTAAAAATGTAAGCAATTTATAAAATTGGCAGACGCTGTATAGTGCATATTTTGGATGCACGCGGAACAACATAATATGAAAGCCGCTACAAAAATCTAGCAAAATTACCTGCTTCCATGGATAAAACATCCGAATGGCAACCGTCCAATTTTAAGTAATCCACACCCCAGTCGGCAAAAGTTTGAGCATCCAATTTCAGGTACTCAATACTGCCCGGATAACCTGCGCACGTTTTAGTCCCATAGTCTGCGTAAATGCCGAATTTCAACCCTTTTGCATGAACCTACCAAAAACAGTTTTGCATTAGAAACCTTCCAATGGTGCAAGCAGACCGGTCCCGACTCCATTCCTTTGTAAATGCCACTAGGTTCCCATGGATACAGCGCTGTTTTTAAGCGTCCATTGGCCGTAGTTGGGACAGGACAATTTGCACCATCGTTCTAGTCGGGGTATAAAACTTACATAATCTGATAGAGCTTTGATTCCACTGGGAAATCGTAGAGGATCGGGCTGAAGCCGGCTGTTATTGTCGCGCTCTTTGCTTGCCCAGCAATCGTCGATAATCACATACTCATAACCGGCGCTCTTGAACCCATCGGCCACCATATGATCGGCCATATCGCGAAATAATTGCTCACTATAAAAAACCATTAAGAATGGGATCTTTTTGGGAGCCCAAGAAGTCAAATCTTACCTGATGCAGTCATTGGGGTAAGCGTGGCAGTCAGTGACGCATCGGAATCTTTGCCAGTGCATCCAGCCCATGGGTGGAGTTAGAGCCAGGCCGTTGTCCAGGGCCTGGATATGTGCTACTGATACCAAAAGTACAGCGAAAATTGCCCAGGCGGTTCCCATTTTGGACCCAATTGCAATCAAAGCTTCAGCCCGAATACATAAAGCGGTGATCATTTGCAAGTCCACCGATCCTTGATTCTGCTTGCTCAAGCCTAAAGTAGGCCTAGATTAGTTCGATGAATTATTCAAGCCTGACCAGATAGGACATTTGCGGTTGCGGCAAGAATGGCATGGCATTCAAGAACATAGTTTGTGCATTCGGGAACTCGAAGCGCAAACTTACCACTCAGTCTGCCAGTCTGCTTACCGCTATTCGCTAAAAATGCATCAAAATCTACGTTAAACTACATAAACTACAGCCAACAAGTCGGCGTTGTTGCTTTCAAGTGCAAATGACTTCTTGATCTTGGTATCAGTAACCGGTCAACACACTGGTTGCGTCATGTCCATACGTGGCTAAATAGACGCTCCAAGCTTTGATGTTGATAGGCATTAATTGTATGCATAGTTTGGTTATTTAAGAGCTTAAAGAAAAGGCAGATTTTGTAGTCAAGAAATGTTACTTATAGGCCAACCGTTTTCCCGGCAAGTTCGCGTTTAAAGCCTACTATCGAATCATCGGCATTTATCAAGAAGAGTTGACGCCCTGTTTACCATTTCAACCTGAAAACAGGCATTTATTTCTTAATTCACCGAACAATTATATAGTATAGTAGGCCCAATTGCCACAAGTATGTGACGGCTTGCAGGCCTACAAGCAGAACTTTGTCGGTTGTACATGAATGTTCTGCGCTGACTTTCACTGTCTGAGGATCGTTTAACTGTTAATTACAATTATATAATTATATTACAACAAGAAGGATACTAACTGACAATATACAGGGTGATTTAACAGTACTGTCACACGCTTTAAGAGAGGATTGTCCGCCAGTCGCGTGCCTACTGACGCAACATTCAATATTTTTGAAGAAAAAACAATGCTACGCCACTGATTTAGCAAACAATTGATTTGATTTCTTTATTGCTTGTTGAATGTCAGACAGAAAAGATCTCTTGAGTTTGATTTGAAATGATTACTTTCGTTCAAACTTCGATAAATGCAGGCAAAAGTTTTTCGAAAAATCACGCTTGCACCCGTCGATTTTTATACAAGTATACACAACAAAAACACACATAAAATGTTCGTAATGATGTGTGACTCAAAAAAATGTGTCGATGTGTGCATGTTTTATATTACAGCAATAAAGATACTGGCCTCAGTTAAAGTGCGAAAATACATTTAGCTAGTGGCCGGCAGGGTTGTTATTCATTTGCTGGTAAAAAGTCTTCAAATTATGCTTGTAGACAAGTCGGTCAATTCATTAGCTCCACGGGTGTAATCAGCAAGAGAACCGCACCTGTAACGAAATCAAGCTATTGAGAACCCAATGCAATATTTTCATCAGGGGTACCTGTTGGGGGCACTCGAACCGTAATATTGACACTCCCCAAATGCACACTGCGTTTTTGGCCATCAATATCCGCAAAAACGTCCTAAAAGCGCAACCAAATGCATTTCCGCCAGCATTTTCTAGCTAATTTCATTTACCACTATATGGTATTCTCTGTCACCGTCCAGAAAATCTATTAAAGGAATCTCGTAGCGATAGGGGTAACCGTCTACTCGGGTGCTGACCACGCCCAAAGCCACCCCGTTTCCACTCAAGGACTTCCTCCACAGCAGAATGTCACTAATCTATAGGGAGAACTCAAATAAGATTCTCCTATTTTGAGCACTTACGTTAGACACCAGTTCTCCAGGAATCCCCAATGGGTCCTGATTGATCCTGATCGCATTCCTGTTGAGCAGAATGTTCTTAAATCGGGGTTTAACCGTGTCCAGGTCCACGGACATGATCAAAGGCGCCGCCATTATGGACCAGATGGTCATTTGCGCTTTGGACTGCTCCAGGCTGAGCCCAAAGTTCCCGATTATCAACTAAAAATGGCACAAAAGTGAGATTTTCAAAGGACTGGGACAGTGGCAAAAGAATACCATGTCTGGATCGTTCCAGTGCCCAGGACCGGCAAACTGCCTCAAATAGTCCTGATTGTCGCTGAACCACTGGAAAATATCGCTTACGGATTCCCAGGAATCGTCAATATCGTCGTAGTTTCTCCAAAGGTTGCAAATGTCCACTGCTCTGGAGTAATTCGTCTGCAACAAAGACATTAGAGAAAATTTGCGTGCTTTTGAGCGGTTTTTTAAGACCTACATCCAACTGTTCGTAAGCAGGAAAGCTGCAGGAGAACACAATGGGGCGTCCAGTTTCGTTCAAATACCTGGACATTTTGGCGTAGCCTGCAAAGTGGGTTTAGAGTAAAACGCAAAAACTGACTCGATTTTTCACCTTCTTCCATTCCGGCGGTCGATGCGTAGCATCCATCGAGTTTCAAATAGTCGATGCCCCATTCCGCAAATGTTTCAGCATCCAGTTGCAAGTGGTCAATACTTCCAGGATACCCTCCACATGTTAGCGTACCATAATCTCCATAGATGCCCATTTTTAGACCCAAATTGTGCACCTGAAAGGATTTAACTGCCAGTATCTTCTGCCTGATGAAGGCCTATGGATGATCTACAGAAAATCTTCTGTAGAAGCTTAAGGAAGGAAACTGGTGTCTACTTTAGAAGGTTTTTTCCTCTTTCAAAGCAGATTATTATGGATGACTTCTGCTAAAGACAACTAACAGTTTCACTTGCTCGAGACTTACATATTCTGCCAGAGGCGCAATTCCGTTTGGAAATCGATCTGGATCAGCCCGTAGCCGATTGTCGGCATCTCGTTGCTTATCCGCCCAGCAATCATCGATGATAATGTACTCGTATCCAGCCTCCAAGTAGCCGTCGCTGGCCAATCGGTCGGCCGTTCGCTTGAATAGGGCTTCGCTGGAAATTGTCTTAGCTGAGGGAGCCAAGCTCCAGTGGAGGGCCCCAAAGAGCATTTTCCAACACCTACCTAATGCATTCATCTGGATACAAGTCGCAATCGACGAGACACCGAAATCGCTCCCAGCTCAGCCACCCCATTGGCGGCGTTAGGGCAAGTCCATTATCCAGCCCCCAAACTTGTTGTATCAAGCCGAATGAAATTAGGAGAGTCAGACTTTTCATAATAATGAACTAAAGCGCAGTGCAAATCGGACTGTTTTTTCATGGCCTTTATACATAAAACAGTACTTGGACGATAAAAAAACAATCGGTACTTGGAAAACTAGGTAAATCTCGCTCTTATCTACGTACACATACCTAAGGAGATATAGAGTGATGTTTTGTTTGCTTTTTATTAGCAAAAAATGATGAGTTGCTGTGTTCATTTGAGTCGTGAGAATCAAATGACTTATTTTATTTGCAGCAGGCAAAAAAACATGTTTGCCTAACAATTGTTTGACGATTGATAAGCCCCCAGTAACTGCCTGTTTAACTGGCATTGAAGTGCTTGGAAAATATAAAAATGAAGTGAAGCTGCGAAATATACGAGTGATTGAACACAAACACTGGAGAACTTACTTAGCTAGTTTCATTTTGGGAAGGGCTTTGAAACAGAATTTCCAGGAAGCTAATTAAAAGAGCTGCTGGACTACGTACTGTTTTATTTCCTTTAAGTAGCGAAATAAGGATGTTTGGTGTTCATTTGAGTCGTGAGGACCTTTGGGGAAACGCATTGAAAGCGCTCGAAAAAAATGAGCGAAGAAATCAAAGTCAAAAGTACAAGAATATAAATATATTCCTAGATCAAACAGCTTTGCTCCCGGCTTTGGTCGATGAAACATTCGCCTTGTCATATTGCACTTTAGTTAATGTCCATGGGACACAATTGTCGTTCGCCCTCATGCAGCAGAATCATCATGGATTTGTACAACAAATAGGCACCAAACAGCTTCTTTTGGCGGTTAGGCCACGAGGCCGCCACCCCGTAAAACTCGCCCGATTTGATGTTGGTCAAGTTCTCCAGCTTGAGGGCGCTGATCATGGCCGCCTCCCTTGTGTAGGCTTCCACTGGGATCACATTCTGGAACACATGGAGGCAAACGACGCCGCAATCGCCCTTCCACACGTCAATGATGCGCTGCAGCTTGCGATTGGTGGTCTCCAGCTGTCCCTTCTTCCACAGGTTCACTGCGTCGTAGAGGTGCTGGTAGGGGCGCGATCTTTTGCCCTTGCCCACGTAGAAGATGGCAGATAGAAACGTTTGCCACTGATCTAAAGGTGATAGAGTGCCGGCTCTGTCGGGCAGGTTGTTGGTGATGCGCGGATCCAACAGCAGGTAGGTGAAGTTGGATTTGTTGGTGCCTTCTCGCCATTTTATCGTCGGTGCGGAGCTGTGGAACTGCCGCACCACGTCTTCTTCTAGACGCTTCAGCGCCGCGTCGTCGGACCAGTTCATGTTTTTCATCGTTTTCTCCAATTCCAGGGAGTAAACTGAAAAACGGAATTGATGTTAGATGACGAGTGGCCCATAAGAAAACACTCACGCTGGTTGACCTGCTTGAGCAAGCGGAATCTTTGGACAATTGTAAAAAACATGATAAAAAAATCTAGAGTAGACGATGACAAAAACGTCAGTTAGAAAAAGCTTGAAGGCGGATGTCCATCAAGATTGGCACTCAAGTAGTGTACTTGCCTCTTTTATTGTTTTGAGGTCCACTCAGTCGCAGTTCAGATGAGGGGTTTTTCCTCATATGGTGCAGCTTCTTCAAGTAGACCCGTTTAGTGGTGGAGGTTATCGGGCCGGGTTCGTACCCCAACACAATCAACTCCTTCTTAAGCATTTTGGCATCGTAGTCGAAATTCGGCGGCAACGAGGACAATGTCGATGACACGTTCGAACTTGCACTTTTGGTGAATTCACTGCAAAGACAAATCAGATTTTATTTATTTATAATGAAAGTGAAGAACATTATTATAGTCCAAGGACAGTACACGACTCTTTGCAGATGATACAATCGTTATGGCCCAAGCGGAGGAGTTGAACTTGGAGAATACCTAAAGAAAAGACCGGCAGGCCGGAGTTTGGCATTTATTTCTTCAGGAACTAGCAAAGTGGGAAATTCGCTTTTGTGTGTCTTTTGTGGGGCAGAGTCTGTTTTATGGTGTTTTTAGGTCAAGATGTTTCTTATATGAAAATCCTTCAATTTCAAACTTACCTAGGAGCCTTCATAAGTCGCTTTTCATACAACACAACATCTTCATCCATGTCCACATACTTGTACACTTCGGACACACTGACGAAACTAGTCTCGCTCGCTCCAGTATCCGATTGTTTCGGATCAGACGCGATCACGTCCAATCTGATGTCGCTCAGATCGTCGGTGATCTCGAAAATGTTCTTCTCCAACGAGATAATACTGTTATGGGAACACGTGAAGTAGTCGCTGTTCTTTTCATGGACGGCTGTCCGCTCTTTCGAGCTGTTCAGCTTCCGGGACTGGTTCGAGTCCAGCAAGCTCTGGATCGTGACCACGCCACTTTCCCCCGAATATTCCTTCAATTGCGAAATGCTATAGGCGTCAGTGTAGTGGGAATCGTCCAGATCAGTGGGGGATGCTGAGTTCCGATTTGGCTGCCCTTTGGGGGTCTTTGCCGTCTGGCATCTGCTGGATTTACTTCGCTTTTTTCTGTACACCTGCCAAATTGGAGTCAATTAGTTTTTCCATTGAAGTAGAAAGTGAGGAAGGTTTTATTAAACGGGAATATATGTTGACATCAGAAGTTTGTTGAACTGTGAACTGTGAATGTTCTAATAGATTTTTAGGAAAAATACTAAAAATGGCAGATAGACCATAGTGAAATGTGTGTCCGTTAATTTGGCTTTAGGATTAAATTTAAAATACTTGAATAATCATTGAAACATTTCCAAAACATCGTCTCA